GAGAGAGAGAGAGAGAGAGAGAGAGAGAGAGAGAGAGAGAGAGTGCTGCAGAGATAGGAGATACTCTTCTGGCCTGCCCCTCTTACAGCTCTGCTCTCCCAGGCCCCAAAGCAAACTCTATTTCTCCGGGTGGTTGGCTAGTCAGAAATGCCCAGGCACACATCAACAAACACCCTGTTTTATTAAAACCCATTTCCTGAGTGTGAGCTCTTGGCCACTCTGACTCCGCTATTTCTCCAGGGAGCCAGGGAAGCTCAAACATATCTCTCCCACTGTTTCCCAACACAAGTCCTCATTAGCAAAGTCAGTGTCACAACCCACCCTCTGTCCTCGTCCTTTTGGCCTTGTCAATTCTGTCCTGCCTCTAAAAGAACTGACTTTTGGTTTGGATAATATTTACTTGCATTGCACCCACTTTATTTCTGCATTCTGACTCACTATTTTTTTGTGGTGTGCATACATATGAACACTTAGGTACGAGGCCTGGGATTCCTTGGCTTTGGCTACTACTCTTTGTGTGTAGGTGCATATGTGTAGAAGCCAGAGGTAAATGTTGGGTGTCTTTCTCACTCTTTCTCCACTTTCTTTTCTGAAATAGGATCTCTCATTGGATCTAGAGCTCACCAACTCAGGACAGCTGGCCAACAAACAGGTCCCCAGCCCCTGCCCACCCCAAAGACCATTCCCTATTGAGTATATCACAGAGTCCCTGTTTGGCCTCACGATCAATACCAGAGGTTGAATTCACCAGGATTTGGACCAAGATACATATGTATTTCTGTGTCCAGCCCACCACTTTTGAGGGCATAAGGGGATGGCTCCTACATATAGTTGTTTAGTTTCTGGTCTGAAAAGCTTCACCACCATTCCACGTACCCAAAGAAAAATGGTATAGAGACAATACTGTGCCCCACCATGTATGGCTCCAGCTGGGCCCTTTCCAAAGAGGAGCAAAGAGTAAGCACCAGCACTGCAAGGTGCTGCCCCTATGTGGCCAGGAAGCTTAAAGCAGTCATTATGCTACCTTAAATTCAGGATATAAACCAAAATTGGGCTCTTGGGAACAAAAACTCAGTTTTGGTTAGGGGAAGAGTTGAAAATATTTATTCAAATCACCCACCCTTTAAAACTTTTAAAAAAGAAATTTATAATGAAAAAAATCAATATATACATTTTTATTTTGTTTTTCCAGACAGGGTTTCTTTGTGTAGCCTTGGCTGTCCTGGAACTGGCTCTGTAGACCAGGCTGTCCTGGCGCTCAAAGAGATCTACCTGCCTCTGCCTCCTGAGGGCTGGGTCTAAAAGTGTTCACCACTGCCACCCGGTTTAATATATACATTTTGAAGGCTGCTCATTCCTCAGCAGCTCTTGATGAAGAGGGCAGGTAAGCAGTGGTTCAGGATCTGGGTGGCGTGATCCAATAATCTGGATTTAAGCCATGACTCCTCAGTATGCACGGTGTGCCTGTGGCATGCCACTGGAGGCATATGAGATAGGAATAATAGCATTACCCACGTTATAGCACTAAGGCTACTGAATGAGATAATGGTCTGTTCACAGCAAGAAATCACTGAATTTAATTACAATCATTATTGTCAATATTCTTTTTTGTTGTTGTTTTTAGAGACAGGGTTTCTCTGTGTATCCCTGGCTGTCCTGGAACTCACACTGTAGACCAGGTTGGCCCCAGAATCTAAGAGATCTGCCTGTCTCTGCCTCCTGAGTGCTGAGATTAAAGGTGTGCAACATCATCAGTGAATATTCTTTTCTATTAGTGGGTTTTAAACATTGCTCTAGCTGCACAGATTTCAGCCAGTGTTAGCATGTGGATAAGATTTCTGTAGACCATGATGCTCTAAGAACTGCTGCAGAGGGGCAGACCTGTTGTCTTCCCAGAGTTGCACTGCTTTATGGTCTCTGAGTGTAAATGCCTGGTTCAAACCCCAGGACTGCTATTTGCTAGTCCTGACCTAGCTAGCCTTTATTTTTAGTGCATGCTCACTGTTCAGGCAGGCATGTATGTATGAAGGCCAGAAGTCAGCCTTGGGTCATTCCTCAGGAACCATCCATTCTGTTTTGTGAGACAGCATCTCTGTATTGGGACAGGAATCACTGATGAGGCTAGGCTGCCATGCCAGTGAGCTCCTGGGATCCACCTGTCTCTGCTTCCCTAGTGCTGGTAATGCACACATACATTGCCAACATGCCCCAAACTGTACCATGCCGTGCACTGCCACCATGCCCTGTAGTGACACCATGCCTCACACCACACCATGCCCACACTGCACCATGCCCTGCACTGCACCATTCCCTGCACTTTGATCTGAGCTCCTCGGGCAAGTACTGGACGGAGCTGTCTCTTAGCCCCTATGTTAGTTAACTCAAGTCCATCTTCAGAGAGACCTGGGAAGAACATCTACTGAAGACCTGCGTGATGGCAGAAGAACACAATTCTAAACCCTGCTTTATTATGCCACAGTCCAGGCTTCCAGTTTCTCTATTCCAATCGGCAGGTGCTCAGCCCCTGCAACTCCAAGTTTACTGAAAAGTGATAACACATGAGCTCAGAGAGCTGCCAGGAGATTCCAAAGAAACAAAGCGGGTAGCATATTGTCTGGCATATTGTAGGGACTCCTCTGATGCTCACTTTTCCTTCTTCTCTATGGCTCCAAAAGACAAACTCACCCCTCCCTTCTCTCTCAGTCATTTTTCTCCCCCAAGATAGATTATTTCTCTTTTCCTCAGCTAAGTTCCAGGTCTCTGTCTTTTTTCTTCCTCTGACCTTTATTTAATATAGACTAAAAAAGCCGGGCGGTGGTAGTGCATATCTTTAATCCCATCACTCAGGAGGCAGAGACAGGCAAATTTCTGTGAGTTTGAGGCCAGCCTGGTCTACAGAATGAGTTCCAGGACAGCTAGGGCTACATAGAGAAACCCTG